AAAAAAAAAAAAAAAAAAAAAAAAAAAAAAAAAAAAAAATTAACAATCTATGTATGTTTTAAAAGTGTTGTGAGGGAAAGAGAATGAAGAAATACTTCCAATTAAAATCGGTGGTAAACTTTTAATCAAAGTGTACTTATTTTTTTGTGTTTACTTCCGAATTTTCCTAAATCGTTTCCCAAATGAGCCTACAATTCCTACTGTGCAATTAATAAGCTCATCTGGTGGGCAAACAAAAAAAAGCCGCATCCTGTGCCTCCACAGTCAACGACAATAGTTATTGTCGCATTACTTTCTCAAGGGGTGAATAAATACTATTCCAAACTAACGAGTTAACGTGACCAGCCAACAGAACGCCATCAGCGAGGCACATCATATACTATTACCACGTATCAGCGTTACCACGAATCTCCCTGACTTTTTTTCGATTATATCTTAGTTTGCCTGTCTGTCCATCGGTACGCTTCAGTTGGGGATCATATAGAACTGCTCTTTTTATTCCTACTTACTTGAGGAATATGAACATATTTATAATAATACTTTCTCATTCGATATAGAGTAAACAATATCCTCACATCATTTGAATTTTCTGCTGAATACGCGACCATCACATTTTTTAGTAAAAATTGAAGAAAAAAAAAAAATTAATTTTTTCAACTATACGGCACAGACATTTTCGTCGATTTGAAAGTAACGTATTATTCCACCTTCCTAAATGATATGAAATAGTATTCAATTAATATTTTACGTAGTTGTTGACTCAATGAAACATTTTTTAAGCTCATCATTTTTTACATTAACCTATGAAGGTGTCCACCGCATGGATGCTCATTTTCTGGGACATTTTGTTGCCGATATGTAATAATGACGATAAAAATAACGAAAAAAGAATATCTTTAAAATTGTACTCACATGTTTTGCGTACAAGTAAGACATTCATCAAATTTTTTAGATACAATACTGATACGAAATCAATATACGTGTCAACGATCGCGAGCGTCAGGTATCGTCGGATGGAGTCAAAGACGCATACTCTATATTCTTCCACGTACAGGTACCATATTTAAGTTTGAATTCGATCCTTTCAATACATCCAAAGATTTAAAAAAAAAGCACACACATACACCAAACAACTATTAAAAAGTTATGGAAAATTATAGCACGTGCATGAGAATCGCATAATCTTTGACAACGGACAATGTCCGAAGCACACAATTATCTTATTCAAGCGCACTGTAAACAACAAGAACCAGCCACAAGCTGTATTTTATTACACTAGGAGCATGAGAAGAGAGGGTGGAGCTGGATTATCTGTACTCGGGTAACCCGAGTCACGTTACACGTACGCGTAATGTGTGAGTGCATACGTGACCCCACATATTTGTACGCACAAATAATTGGAAGCTAAATTGAGACAATTTTAAATTAGCCACGTGCGGCCACTATTGTATCTATACATCTTGTTTAATTTAAGTATAATGTATATGCCTTATAAGGCATTATAATTATAACTAATTAGTTTACCTTCGTTATAAGCTCAGGTTTTAGAAACCGGATCTGAAAAATCCTTTTAAACGCTATTAAAAATGATTATAGGTAACGTTCTAATAAAAATCATGATACGAATATTCAAATCGCAAGAGGAAGGAAGGTATTAAAACTATTTACCAAATAAAGATAGCTAAAGAGATGAGAAAACTTGATTAATCACGAATCGGTAAAATTGAGTGACTCTGGCCTTCTATACTTTAAGAAATACATTCCGCATGGATACGGTTGAAGTGTGTGTATGCATTTAAAAAGAAAAGAAAAATAAACACCAGAATGAGCGAGATTATGGCAAAAAAGTACAGCACAGCAAGCCATCAGAAGTCGTCCTTCGCAGCAAAATCATTCGACTCGATATAGACACATTAGAAGCCTGTCCAACCAGCCAGCTAGTCAAGTGCAACGTCAAGAGTATATATACGGTATAAATACCACTCTTAATCTTAAAGTGAAATCTTGGCTCCATTCGAGTGATGGGGATCCTCGCTTGTCCTACTTATTCGCTCGGATTCGCTCTGGCACTGGCAAAGCCAAGAAACCCTTACCCTCTTTCACCGTTTATCCACACCTACGTGTATACCTACGTGCACAGGCTCGTGGATGGGGTGGCGGGGATGAGCAGAGGTGCACTCAACTGAGCACCACCAGCAGCAGCTCCCGAAAAGCGGATTATACAGTGAGCAGCCAACTCGATTTTCCCTATTCGAAAGGCTATTGCCCTATACCTACGGGAAATAATGTGAAAATACAGGGAAAAGCGCGTGGAACGGAAAGGAAGAGACGAAGGTGGTCCGTCTTGGTTATTACCCCCTTGATATGAATGTACCCGCAGTCCTCGGTGGGGGTGAAAAAAAAAACAATCGATATCTCCTCCTCTCGATTATCCAGTGGGAGAGTCCCTTCTTTTTTTTTCCTAAACACCCCCCAAGTCATCGGCTAGTGCATTTGAGTCGCTGGAAACTGCAGAGATGAAGGTGAATAAGAGCTCCTCCGCCGAATATATCGATATCCCATTAGGGGGTAAAGGAAAGGGGGGATGTGTGGGTTCCCGAGACCCGAAAGCCCGTGTTTGAAGAGCCGAAAGGGGGTGAGGGAGAAAAGGGCGATTCCTGCCTCTAATCGTGGGCCATTAATGCCGGGGCAGGATTCCGCGCACCACCACCTCAAATTTCCATCGTCCCCTGAAATTTATGCGTTGACATACGTGACTACGCCTCGCAATGTTTGCAGACTAAATTTCCAGCTACTTTTCACTTTATATTTATATGTACACTGTACACATCACCAATCTTGGTTACCTCACGCACTTTTGTTACCCTCGTTTACCTCCTAGCTATAATCCTCTTGAATGAATTCTAATCGTGAACTTTACTCAAGTAGACACTACAGCATGCCAATTTTATTCGAACAACTTTGTGGTTCTTTGTAAATTAATTAAGCTCGTAAAATTATATAATCCTCGAAAAGCACGAAAAGCATGTTAATTGCAATCTTATGCTATACTATATTCCGGCATTCCTCTAGTGCGACAAATTCCCACACATGTAATACGATTTCATTCCAAATTGCAAAATCTCGCGAAAAATTTAAAACTTTAGCTTTTAAGTAAACTGATCGTTTAAAACAGTTATTTTACATAAGCAATTTTCAAGTTTCAATAAAAAGTCTATCACAATGAGAAAGTGCATGC